GGTCCGCACCATCTACACCATCGATGGCAGCAAGAAGATCACCAGCCTGGACGAGCTGGTGGAAGGTGAGGGGGGTGTCGAAGGGCTGGAGGTGGCCGTGGGACCTGCAGGTGGCTTGCGGGCGCTCCCGGGGCTGAGCTCCCCAGTCGCTGCCCGGATCAAAGCGGAGAGGTGGAAACTGGCGGCCGCAGAGCCCGCGAGGGCAAGTGGCCGGGCTTTCCCGCTGCTGTGAGGGGCGGTAGGGCCTCGTTTTCCCACTGTGGACCATCCACTTCTCCCGTCACCCCGAGTGCTGCCATCTGCATGCGCTGGGCTTGACTCCAATGCTAGTTAAGCAGCAGGTGCTCTTTTCATCTGCAAAGAACTGTAAAGTTCTTGGTTACCTTCCATTTGTAAGAGAGGGAAATGCTGTAATTTGGTTCTCTAAGTGTCATTGTTGACTCGTAGTAGCTTCAGCCTTCAGAGAGGAAGCCCCAGTGCTGTGAAAAAAGGGTATCTATATCCTACCACTTATTAAAACTAAAAGGTGTAAAGTCCTAGTTTCAATCCTAGTTTCAAATGTGATCAGAGTCCGTATTAACAGAGGGAATTATTTACCTTGCCTGACTTTCAAAAGCATGTTATAGAACCAGATGTATTTCGGAGTTCTTCCTAAGCAGCTTTTCATAATGGAACTTAGCTGCTAAGGTTGTGTAAACCTTGCAAATCCGAACAGAGCAGCACTTGACCGTCTCAAAATGGGGCCAGAAGTATTGTTTTGTGAATGACACATACGCCCCTTGTTTGTGGGGAGTGATAATTATCGGAATGAGGAGCAGAATTCCCCAGTCTTTTCACGTGATGTCTTAAAATACAGCTTAAGCTTAGCATTGCCTGCTTCCCAAATGCACAAGTTGTGTTGTGCACACTGAGAGGTTCATAATGAATTTGCACTTGATGGTTGTTCTCCGGTATTTAATACATCAGGCATCACAGTCTTCTGTGCCTCTGTGTGCCAAGTGTAGCTTGCATTAATGAAGAAATAGGATTTTTTTGTAGGCATTCCAATGCTTCCTAGGCTTTCAGCTGCCTGTCTTTTGAGTTTTCGTTTGGAAGCTTTCCTTTTCAAAGCAGTGCTGAATCACACCTGGAGAATTGGATGGGAAAGGGAGCCTGAAACCTTTGGTCTAATGAACCAGTAAGGGCACTGGGAGTTAGGAACCTGCTGCTTCACAACATGGAAGAGAAAGGGGTGGGGGGGCTACAGAATTTGCTGTGCTGAATGCGTGTCCTTTAAAAAAGATGTGCGTGGAAGGGCACTTCCTGATAGTACCATTGTGCTGAGGACTTATGTGATCTACTATTAGGCTGTTTTACAGTGACAACTGAGGAAATATAAAGTGGTTGTAGGGTGAAATGCTGACCCTGTGGTGATAAAAGAAATTAAGGAAGTAAAAACACATTTCAGTGATTTGGTGGTTAGTTTAGAAATATCTTAAAAAAATATGATATGCTGAAGTGGTGACAGAAGGGAAAGGAGTTGAAACTAGCAGTACCATGGGGTGACTTTTGAAATGTTGACTCAGGAATGATATTAAGCTTTTATGACTTAAAGACAGAGTTACTTGCTGGACAGCAGTATATACTCTTACAACTATAAACTAATAACTGAAAACAAAATTTACTCTTTGTCTCTTCAAATACTCATTGAAAGCATAACCTTTGTTGTGGCTCTTCACTGGAAGAATAAAGCAAAAGAAATGTCACCGTCAAAATGCCACTTCCATGCTTTTTCAATGACATAAAAAGGGGGGAAAAGAATCCCAAGTACTTAGTCATCTATCCATGACCAATACAATTTTCAGGAATATTAAGAAAAACCTATAGCATCATAATTGGATTAGTATGTTCTCCAGTTAATATGTTGAAAACTTCACCACTGTAAGACTAATCACCGCACAGAGAAAGAAAAGTATATATAGGGAGGAAAGGACAGCAAACAAGTAGAGAATCTTGAAATTATTTGAGTTTTTTTGCCAGCTGTTTTGTTCTTGAGGTGCAGGAAGAGATTTGATTTGGGTTAATTTTCTTAACTTCTTGTGGTTACAACATAGCAAGTTTGAATTTCTGCTCTGAAGTAAATTCTCCAACATTGGTGTTGACCTAAAGTTTGAACTGCAGAAGCACCAGCAGTAGTTTTGCATGGTGTTTTGCTGTATTGCTTTTTAATATTTTTCAGAAAGGAAAATAAAACTAAAGTGCTGTAGTGTGTGCCAGCCACAGGCTGAGCACCAGACGGCCCATGGCTGTGTGATGCAATACCTAGCTCACTGGTCTCTTGGCACCTTCCCAGTGCTCCTGAATTGGGACATGGAATCACAGCAGTTCAGGTTCAGTAGTGGCAGATCTCTGCAGTGAGCAGAAGGAGAGTGCTCAGCAAGCCTTGCCAAGCCAGCAAGATCTGCATTAAACCTCCCTTAGCTCCAGCCTGTGTATGAGGCTCTTGGACAGTGACGTGTCCCAGTGCAGGGCAAGCTCTTTAGGCTTAATTTGCTATTTATCAGGGTAGTATCTATCTGGCATATAAAAGCTGGCAACATCTAATTCTGTATCATAATGAGCTGAGTTGAGTCACTGATAAATGCTTTTTTGGAGTTTGGCTGTATCTGACAATCTGTTTTACTGTTTGTCATTTTAAGAGAAAAAGAGCTAGTGCATGGGCGTACTGGGGGTATGAAATATTGCTGTTATGGCTTGAGCCAGTTAAAAATTGGACCAGATCATGTTTATTAGTAAAAAATAGAAGCTCGATTTTAAGCATATTGCTTTTCTTAACTGGATATGACAAGCAAAAAAGCATGTTCTGCTGGACCAGCCTGAGGCAAATATAATTTATATTCTCAGCCCCTGTAGATTAGAAAACATTATGGCTCATGAGTCTGACAGTTTTCATTGTTTTCTTAGAACAGGAGGAGAGAAGAATGTCATAGTCTGCTCCTCATCTGTTTGAGCAGGCAGATCCAGAGAGGAGGTGGGAGCTGGGACTCTTAAGACTTTTGTACAGTTTTCTTTCTTCTAGCTTTACTCTGACATAACACTATTTCTTACTTTAGAATACACTATTCCATGTGTAATTTTATACTTGCCCTTCTGTATCAAATATTGAATAATAGATTAATTTTCATTTTCTACCAGAGTTAGTTTAAGTGTTTGTCTATTTCCTTCAGTTTCCCTTGAAAAGGTAGGCTTCCTAAAACATGACACCATGGTAATAGAAATGTGCAGCTTAGTCCTGAGCTATGTGTTTTATGTGAATGCTGGTCATGCTCTGTCTTTTTGCTTTCATTGTCTTGTTACTGAAGGATGTGGAGAACCCTGATTTTAAAGGTGTGCTGCAAAGTTGGGAGTTGTTGCTGGATTTTGAGAGATGAAAGCAAGCATAGACTTCATTCCTGGAAAGAGAAGTTATGTTGATTTTGCATCTAATGGGAATCCTTCTAGTTCTTTAAAAAATAGCTGAAAGCCTTTGTTCTTCCAACAACAATGCTTAATTAATACAGTCCTTTATAAAATGTCTGTAGTTTTGTCTGCATGGTTGTGCACACAATCAGGGAAGTCTCTGGGAAGGTTGTGGGCAGGGCAGTCCTTATGCATGGCCAAGACACATAACACAAGGCAATATCTGATTTACAGGAATGAGCTTTGCCTCATTAATACTGAGTAAGGGAATGTGTTTTGAAATGAAGTGTCGAACAATCCAAGTTTATTCTGTCTTAGACCGTTGTTGTTACTGCATATTGTATTTAATCCTGCATAGAGTACCTGTGATTTTAGTTGATGTGCACTATTCTATGAGGTCAAGAGTATCTTTTCTCTTGTCAGGGGAAGCAGATGGTAATGCCAAGTAGGCAGTTTGTATTTTTGCTTGTTCCAAAAGGTATGATTGCCTGTGTTAAAGCCAGAAGCTGTAATGCTTTAAAAAAAAAAAAAAAAGGCAAATGTAGCAAATTGAACAATAGGTTAAAAAGGAAGATGAAAGAAAAGGATTTAAAAACACATTCTTCCAAATATGTATTCAAATCACTGTAATGATACAGTCCTGGAGCAATTCATGGGGTGTGGATGTGAAATGTGGATATAATTCTTAGTTAACTTCCCGTCCAAGTAAAATAAATTAGTTCCACCACCATCCATCTCCTAGTTTCAGGGATGGGGGAATTGTTGTTTACCTGAAAAGGGTTATTTACTTCCTGTAGGGAAGGCTAATGGTGTCAGGTGTGTTTGATACCAGGTGGCATTGACTGTCTTCTGAGAGCTTTTACCCAGCCAGAGCAGGGGGTTGAATCTCCAGAGGTCTCTTCCAACCTCAGCTATTCTGTGAAAGCTTGTAGGAAGCTGTAATCTGCACCTCTTTGTGTCTAAATAAAATCACAAGAGAACTAGTAGCAGTTAGTCATCTGCTAAAATCCTGGTTGTCATCCCAGGTTTTAAAAAGTACACGGGGAACTCTGAGTACTGTAGATGAGGAAAGATTGTGACTTATACAGGGTTATTAAAGGTGATATGAAAGCGAATTGTAAGAAAATGATGAGGAGGGAAGTTAGTCAAAGTAAGGAAGGAAAGAGAAATTGAAATAACCCAATCCTTCATAAAAGGGGTTGTTTTATTTTTAGGTCAGTCATAAATGCTGTAAACACGCTGTTCCGGAAATCTGCTTGGCTTTTTGTTACAGAACATGGAAAGGGTACTCTGCTGTTTCCTAAAGTTAGAAAGAAGGTCAGTAGCTATACCGATATATAACTAACCAAATAACTACCTTGCTGTACTAAATGAGCAGCTTTTGGTACCTTTGAAGCTAGACAGTTGCACCCAGAAGAAGGTGAGGAACATAAGGTGAGTAGATTAAATCTATCTAGATACCATTCCTGTCCTATGGGATTCACAGGGGAACACATGCTTAAAAAGTATGGAAATTGTTTTCCTTCTCTAGGGATGTTTTTACCTGACACCTATATCATTCCCTGTTATGCAGAGTGCCATTTAAAAAGTGATCCTTTATGTGACTTTTAGGAGGTAGTGCTTATTA